TTTCGCTTTCCTCGTGTCCCGCGTTAAGCCGCGTCCTGCGCATCCAGCTGTCTCCCTCGCGGCCGCGGCCGTGCCCTTTACAGCCGCGCGGCTCGGGCCTTCCCAGCCCCGCGGGGCCGGGGCCGAGGGGCACCGGCGGCAGTGGGCAGAAGCCGGGCGAGGCGCAGCCTGTGCCCCCCAGCTCTGACGCCAGTGCGTGCTTAGGGGTGTCCATCCCAGACGCCCCGATTCTATGTAAAGGGGGGGCTCCTGCCCGTATCCCCCCCGCCCAAAGAAGGGGAGGGGCGGTGGAGGCTGGCGGTCTCGGCGTCTCCCTGGGCCGTTGGAGCGATCTCCACTCCTGTCCCACCCTCTAGGTGTCGAGAAGGATGACCACGCTCACGCGACAGGACCTCAACTTTGGCCAAGGTAGGAAGGCTGGCCCTGCGCGCCCGGGGGGCGGCGAGGGGCCCGGCCGGCGGGCTTCTGGGAAGTCGCCGGCTTCGGTCCTCCCGCAGTGGTCGCCGACGTGCTCTGCGAGTTCCTGGAGGTGGCGGTGCACCTGATCCTGTACGTGCGCGAGGTCTACCCGGTGGGCATCTTCCAGAAGCGTAAGAAGTACAACGTTCCGGTCCAGGTGGGTCTGCTGGTCTGGGGTGGGGGCACGGGGGCACACGGGGAAGGGGTGGGTTTTTTTAACCCTTTCCCACCTTGGATCCCAGCTCCCTAGTTCCCCAGGGACTTGACCTGGTCTTGGCCAGGCTCCACCCATTACTGCTGCAGCCTTCAGAGCTGGGGGCTCCTCTCCCCAAAAGTTAGGGACCAGGGGACATGGTTGTATTTTAAAAGAGTTCCTGAAACTGGTGAATCCCTCGGAGAAGGGATTCCTGTGAGCCTCCGGCATCCATTCCCTCCCCTTACTTCTAATAATTGTAATGGGTTGTTTCAGGTTGAGGCAATAAAGCAGGGACCACTCCACGCATCTCTGGCGGTGGCTGTTCCTTAGAAAGCTCAGGGAACTTGAGCATAAACGACTGAGAAATACTAGAAGGAGGTGGAAATTTAAATAGACAGGGAAATGGAAAAAAGATTCAGCACTGAGGTCCCTTGGTATAGTAGGTCCTTCTCGCCCTTAATCTTAACGTTTTTTTTCTAGGAGCTGTTCACAGGTCAGGTCCTGGAAGCTCAGCAGTGAAGTGATTTGTCTGAGGCCGCACAGCTCCAGATTCTTAATTTTTGAAACTTGATTAAATGTGTGCACATGTGCACAGATACACACAGTCTGTGTATCTGTACAATTTAGGGATTTCTTAGGTTCGGGGGAGCCCATGAGCCCCACATTAGGGACCCCTGATGTCATGCCAATGTTGAGAGTGAATTTTTAATCTTCTCTTGTAGCTAATTCATACTTTTCATAATTCTTAGCCCTAGGGGTGGGAATTTGGTCTGTGTCATGATCCCTCGGGAACCACTGGGCCCCTTTGCAAAGGTACAGGGCCCCTGGAGGAGATACAGGGGGGTGGCTCCCCCATGGGTGCTGCGGCCTCACCCGCACCGTGGGTCTATGTGCAGATGTCCTGCCACCCGGAGCTGAACCAGTACATTCAGGACACACTGCACTGCGTCAAGCCGCTGCTGGAGAAGGTGGGTACCAGCACCCCCAGCCCCTGGCCTGCCTGCCCGCAATGTGTTCTTCTCTACTCCCGATGGGGACCACGCTGGATCCCATGGCTCCTCATACATGCCTGTTTTCCTGCACCCCCCTACACCCACCACCTCACCACAGAGGTCCCAAAGCTGATGGGCTGAGGTCAGGGGGTACAGGGACCCCAGGCATCTTTTCCTCAGTCTGTACTACTCACGTCGGGGTGGGGGTGTGTACTCACTTGAACTTCTCAAACCTGCTTTCTGGGCTCTCAGGGACCCTCCGTGTGTGCCTTTCTCACGCTTCCTTGGGTAGGGAGGGGGTGCGGACTGCGTGGGGTGCCTTGTTCTGAAGTTTTGGATTCCTGTCCTTGCAGAATGATGTGGAGAAAGTGGTGGTGGTAATTTTGGACAAAGAGCACCGCCCAGTGGAGAAATTTGTCTTTGAAATCACCCAGCCTCCATTGCTGTCCATCAAGTGAGCTTCTCCCCAGCTCCCCATCTCTCCCTATCTGCTGCCCTACCTAGTGAGAGGTTCCTGGTAACACCCCCTTCCGACCCCTGCAGGGAGGCCTCTGGTATAGCTAAGCCCTTGGCAAAGGCCTGAGAAGAGACGTGGCACGTCTTGCCACCTCACGTAGCCTGTAGTGGTGTCCTCTCTGGCTGCCTAGGTCATCCCAGGTCAGAGGCCCTCCTGCTTCACACCTGCAGTCGTAGCACTGGTGAGTAGCTTGTCCCAAGCTCTTTCACAGATGGTGGAAGCAGGGTCCAGAGAGACCTGTTCCTAGCCAGGCGTCACGCATACTCACCGAGAAGTTGACCTTGTGCAGGTGTGAGCACTTAGCCTTGGGCTGCCCAGGTGAGCAGTCAGTCCCCATGTGCTGTGTGGCCTCTGACAGCCCTTATTGTTCCTTCATGTCCTGGGGGATGAAGAGTCTCATGCTGTGTGCACGTTAAAACCATGGAGATGGGGCTCCCTATACCTGCTTCCCCCTTCTGGCTTAATGAGTCTCAGCATTGGTGTTGAACTCTTGGGGTGACTTTTTCTTTTAAGATTTAGTTGCTTATAGGCCCTCCCTGGTGACACAGCGGTTAAAGCACAGCACTCAGAATTGAAAGCCACTTCTGCATGAGTTCGATCCCCGCTTGCCCCGGAGGTGATCACATGGTGTGGCAGACCTGTGCTGACCAGTCCGCTGCTCCCCTCAGCAGTGTACTTCGTCGACCTGTCGGTTCTGCTCCCCACTCTGTCTCTGGTGAATCCTTTTACCGCCCCTGCACCTCTGGCCTGAACCCCAGTTCTGTATGCACAAATAAATATTAAAGATTTAGTTGAGAACTGGGGTACAGGCCAGAGGTGCCGTGGCAGTGAGAGGCTTCACCAGAGACAGAGTGGGGATCAGAACAAGCTGCCTGACTGAAATACACTGCTGAGGGGAGCAGCGGGGAGACAGGAGAGGTCTGCCACGCCATGTGGGTCAGCTCCGGGGCTGGGGATTGAATTGCACTGAAGCAGCTGTGGCCCTTTGTGCCACCAGGGAGGGGCCTCTTAGGGTGACTTTAACTCCAGTTGAGAGAGGGAGCTGGGCGTTTGGAAGCTAACACTCTCAGAAACCCTAGAGGGACCCTGGACCCTCAGGTTGGCTTCCTGGACTGGTGAGAGCGGTGTGATGGGTACCCCACGCCTTTCCCTTCCCAGCTCAGACTCCTTGCTGTCTCACGTGGAGCAGCTGCTCCGAGCCTTCATCCTGAAGATCAGCGTGTGTGACGCTGTGCTGGACCATAACCCCCCAGGTGTGCTCAGCCCCCGCCCTCTTCCCTGAGTGTTTCCATAGCCTCCTTGGGTTCATCTGTATTCTCAGTCCCTATTTGGTTTCATGGAGCTTTGTCCCTTCTTTTCTGCCCTAGAGCCCCCTGGAAGGGCCTCTTCCTCCAGGAAGCTTCCCTGATTGACTCCAAGGGCTTTAGGCCCTCTGTTGACTAAGTCTTTTCTCAGATGTGGGGATCCAAGCTGGCTGGGGGAAGTGGCAAGAGGCTGTGCCCAGTGGCAGACATGGGATGGTTCAGCCTTGACCAAACTCTTACCTCTCCAGGCTGTACATTCACAGTCTTAGTGCACACAAGAGAAGCTGCCACTCGCAACATGGAGAAGATCCAGGTCATCAAGGTGAGGAGACTGCTGTTCGGAGCAGGCGGGGTCCTGGTCCGGCGCAGTCACTCTTTCTGGCAGTACTGGGCACCAGGGGCTTCTCGTCTTGTGTAACTGTGTGGCCACGTGCCTGTGGCTGGCCCACCTGACTCCGCCCTGAGGAGGGTGGGGCCCCAGACTGGCTCCACCAGGTCAGTGGGGTGCACAAGGGCGGTGTCCTTGCCCACGTGTTTCGTAGTCAGTGCCCAGGGCTTGTTCAACCACTTGGGCTCTCAGGCCGGCTCTGAGCTTGGCCTCTGGTGGAGGCACCCGGGACTGCTCTGCCAGCAGCTCCCTAGTGATTCTTACGTTCTCTGCAGCCTGAGACCCCAGCCCTGGGGGGTAAGGGGGTTGCAGAGTAAGGGCAGGTCAGGGTGCAGCCTCCGGTGATCCCCTCACCTGTCTCCTCCCCAGGACTTCCCTTGGATCCTGGCAGATGAGCAGGATGTCCATATGCATGATCCCCGACTCATACCCCTAAAAACTATGACGTCAGACATTTTAAAGGTGAGCTGCATGGGGACCTGGGGACCTTTATCAGGGCATGTTGAGGTTGGCTGATCAAGACTCGGGGGAGTCCACAGGGGGAGCGGGCACCCCCTACCTCTCCACTTCCCCTCATGCCTTGGCTGTGGCCATGCGACCCCACCCCTGATGGGGCTCTGCCTGCCGGGGTTCACAGTTCTCGAGAGTCCATGCCCTGGCTGTCCACCTCACTGTGCCGTCTGTCCACTAGATGCAGCTGTACGTGGAAGAGAGAGCCCACAAAAGCAGCTGAGGGTGTGCCTGTGCCCCCCGGCCCCCATCTGTTGCCACACCCACTGGACTTTGGGGCTGCCGGCCTTGGGCTGCGCTGCAGGGCCACCCTGATTCCAAGTGCTCTTATTGCCTGTGTGTGTGGACCTCCCGCCCTCCAACCCCGGGGCTGCTCAGGTGTGTCACCTCCATGGAGGAAGTCTCCCCAGGAGGGCAGTGAAGGGTGCTGAGACCCCGATTTCTCAGCCTCCTGGGGTTCAGCCGGCCAACACTGTCTGTCTCAAATACTGTGCTGTGAATCGATTCAATAAAGGGGCCCCAAGGGCTGAGCCAGGCTGTCACTTACTGAAGCTGGGGGGATGGCGGGGCGGGGGCTTTTCTATCTTGTGCCAGGGACCCGTGCCGCCCCCACAGTCCAGCCACAGGCTGGTTTTACTGAAAACGTTTATTATGGCAAAAACGACAAAGTTACCACAAACTGGTGGATGAGGCAGGATCTCCTGGAGCAGGGAGGGGTGGCTGGTAGCCGGCAGGTGGGGGATGATCCGAAGAACGCAGGATACGGAGACCTCGCAGCTGGGTGTAGAGGGCACTTAGCCAGCCTCATGCCCCTCATGCCCTATGTGGTCTCAGGCTGGGCCTCAGCAGGGGCCAGGCTCCTGGTCATCTTAGGGCTGATGATGATGCTGCTGTTTGTGACCCGGGGTCCATACCAGCCTGCCCAGAACTGGGTGTCGTGGCCCCCATGCTGGAAGAGGATGTAGCGGACGCCAGGGGGGTAATCAGAGAAGGTGTGGGAGACCTGGGGGGAGGGAAGAAAATGTGACCACTAGGGTGTAGGGAAGGGACAGAGGCAGGGCTCCAGGTGGGAGTGCCGGGATCCATGTTTCTTGCATCCGGACCCTGGGAGGTGGATGGGGCCCAGGCCTCACCTCTCTCCATCTGGCGTCACTCCACTGTTCGATGGTCACAGGTGGGGGCTCAAAGGAGGCCAAGACAATGTAGTTGGCCGAGGTCAGATGTACACGGATGCAGTAGGTGCAGCCACAGTCTGATCTGGCAGCGAACCTGGGGGACGGTGGGGCTCAGGCCGTGCACCCTGGGACCTAGGGGCCTGGAGGCCAGCAGGTACAGGCCCAGAGACTGGAGCTCTGACTCTCCGTTCCCTTCTCAGCCCAGCTGGATTCGATGTTTCCCATGTCACTACACAAGCAGTGTGCGCACACTGAGGCTCAATTACCCTACTTGAGAAAAGGGGTACCCCTGATATGTTCCACTGCAGAAGTCACCTTAAAAACTAAAAGGCCCTTTACAGAGATAAAGGCCTGAGCCCCAGGGGGGCCGGGAGCACCTGAATGTCATGATGAACCAATGTGGGAGCATCAGGGTCCGGGGTGATAGGGCTGGCAGGGCTCACCCTCTGCTCAGCCCTGCTGCACCCCACCCCCTGGATGCAGCTGTGTGCTCTCAAACTCTACTCCACCCTGAGTGTGGTGGCTTTCAGGCGTGGCTAGGGCTGGGGTCCTGCTCTAGCCACGTGCTGAGCCTGGCATGACATGGAGCTACAGAGGAGTCAGGAAGCGGCGCTGTGGGCTGAACTGTGCGGATGGCAGGGGAGTCGTGTGAGCATCCAAGACCAGGGAGGCCGGGTTCTGGGGTCTCTCCAGGGTCTCTGCAGGGCCTCTTTGTGAAAACTCATCTGTGAGCCTCAGTTTCCTTATCTGCACACTGGGGCAGGCATCTGCCCCAGGAGAGGCCTGAAGATGCTGTTGAATGAGCAAGTGTTCAGTCTGTCAGTGGGGGCTTGGAGCCCCAGACACTGCTGGAAACAGAGTGGGCTCCCTACAGATGTTCTCAGGAAGAAAAGAAGGGGCGTCGTGGGCCCCACTCACCAGTCCTTAACTATGATGTCAGGCCGGTACGTGTCCAGTAGCTCTTCCCAGTAGCCCTCAGCTTTGAGGTCCACCATCTGGGACTTGAGGCACATCCTAGGGAACAGGAGGGGTTTGCATTCCCCGGCGTGCTCTGCGTGGCCCGGACCCAGCAGTGACCCAACGCCTGCGGGACAGTCACTGCCAGGGGCTGTGACTGTGGCTCCCACCCAGCAGGCAGGAGGGAGGTCAGCCCATTTGTGGCGGGGTGGCACCTGGTCCCGTCGGGAGCCCCAGGGGGCAGCTCCATCAACTCTCATTCCTAGCAGGGCCAGCATGTAGAGATTCCTAACGTCCCCTAGCCGCCTAGTGGACTCCCAGCTGCTGATCTGACTCCAGAGCAGCTGACTCTGAGCCAGTTTTAGGGCACTTCCCTGGAGCTTCACAGAGAGGTCCTCACGTCGGCCCTGGACATAGCGGGCCTGACCCTCCTTCCCCTCAACACAACCTGCCCTTTAAAGTGGGTCTTACTCATAGGATGTGACAAAGTACTTCTCGACACTGGAGTCAGGAAACATTGTCCCGTGCCCTCCGGGGGTGCTCTCCACCTTCCACTTATCTCCCCCATTGGAGTCGATCTGCCAGGATGTCATACCCTCTAGGAAAATGGAAGCCGAGGTGAGATTCCCCGTGGGAATGTTAGTCCAGCCCCTCCCTATCTGGTCCAGGAGGTGGGGCTGGCTGAGGTCTCAGGGAATGCTCCCATCTGCCCTGGAGTACCCCTTCAAAGTTCCTCTTCCTGGGCCCTCCATGGTGGCGCAACAGATTGAAGCGCAGCACTAGGAAGGTATCCACAGCTGTACAGCTGGCCTGTATCCCTGTTCCGCATGCATCAAGGAATCAATCTTTTTTAAAAAAAGTTCCTCTCCCCTGGCAGCCCCCCCCCCCCCACATATCAGCTCTTATCTGGGACCCTTTCTCCCACTTTGTCCCTAACTAACTCAGCTTCTAACATGAAACTGAAAAAAAAGGAACATGGCCAGAAATTGTAAATCAGACCTTTCCCCACTTGGGTTGGGCTCTGGGAATTACCCAAGCTCCAGGCATCAAAACATTCTTGTATGAGGGTGTCTAAGTTGGCACTTCCGTCCTCAGGGGCCTTACTTGATAATCGGCATTGTCCCTGATGTCCAGGGCTAGTTATAAAACCTCCAGGGGGCCCTGAGAGCACCGATCTATGGGTCTGTGGGTTGGAAGTGGGACTCTCCTACTCTAACTCAGTACCCTCTGTCTAGGACAGAAGAGGTAACTTGGATGACTGGTAGCCCCTGGGGTGGTGGCATGTGGTAACCCCGAACTTGTGGTATCTTCCCACCAGACTGGCTTAGCAGGACCCAAGGCTGTCCTTAGGTGTTCCAGAACAATCAGCAAAGGAGCTTTTCCAAATCACTCCCCTGCTCCCTCTACACGGGGCTTATACCTATACTCCCCAAAGTGCTTTGGGAGTCCCCCAGCAGAGAACCAGATAAGTAAAGCAGAAATGTAGAAGCTGGGCTGCAGCCAAGTGCAGGCCAAGGAGAGATCTAGGCAAAGCCGGGCTGCTGGGGCCAGACTGGGGTCCAGGGGAGGCAGGGCTGCTCTTTAGGGCTGTGCGTTGTGCTGGCAGCCCGCTGGGCAGCTTCCAAGTGGGATCTGGGGAAGGTGGAGAGATTGAGTGTCTGAGGAGCTGTCTACCAGGCCTCTGGGAGGGACCTCCGGGGCCTCTGGCAGTCAGGACCAGCCACAGAGACGGAACAGGGCAGTTCTGAATCTTTGGGAGCAAACGCTCATTTTGAGGCCTCTGCCCTCCCCACCCCCACCCCCATAAACTGGAGCCAACCCTGCTTAATGGGCCAACCCCCACCTGGATCCTCAGTGAGGCCACAGAGAGAAAGTAGACTTGAAAAGATTCTAAGGGCACAAGTGATGTCTCGATATCATTTCTGCTGGAGCCACAGCAAGAAGCAGGAGGCCTGTTCTGAGCAGGTGCTAAAGCAAGGACAGAACCCCCGGCGAAGAAGAACAAACACCGTAAGCTGACCAGGGGCCTGAGACCACTCCGCCGCGCCTCCTTTTCTTCATCTTGTAGTGGGGTAATGGAAGGATGGTCATTACACAGAGGAGGGCCCTCCGCACACAGGCTAAACCACAGGGAGGTGACTTAGCAGTGGGCACTGAGTGCAAGTGGCATGACCCATTTGGGCCCTGGTTTGTGAGTTTGTGGCAGAGAAAGCAACGGTCGAGAAGTAATTAGTTACAGCTTATGAAAGTGCCCTAAAGAGGTGATATGACAGAAATGGGGAGCAGTGTTTGAGGAACAGGGTCCAGGGCTAGCCTCTGAACTGAGACCGAGGGACAAGGAGAATCAAGGGGGCCATCGTGGGTGTTAGGAAAGTGTGAGAACAGACCACAGTGTGGGAATTTTAAGTGCAAAGGCCTGTGGCTGGGGGAGGGGGGTTAGCCCAGTGGGAGGGAATAAACCCAGGGGCCCCACCTTCAGCTCGTGGGTTGCGCAGGAGGTTCCTGCGGAGGCTGCACAGAAAGAAGAAGATCTTCCAGTCAGACACAGGCTGGTCCCAGTCCTCCGTGATGAAGCCCTCCCGCAGGCACTTGCGCTTCCACAGGGTCACCAGGTCGATGAGGTCGCGCCAGAGGCTGCAGACCCGGCGGCAGCGTAGCAGCTGGCAGGCCGGCACGTGCGTGAAAACCTCCAGCAGGATGTTCTCGGGCAGCTCGTTGATGCAGACCTGGGCCATGGCAGGGTGGGTGAGGTGCAGGCAGGCCTGTGGGACAACGTGCTTATGATTCATGACCAGAGATGCCTAACACACCCAGGCAGGCAGGGCCACCTCTGATCCCATTTCCTCTTCCACGCACGGGAGGGTTAGACCGGGAGCACTTGAGCGCCTACCATGGCAAACCCTCGAAATAGGAAGCGATCGTTAAGTTATATCACAATAAAATAAAAAGAGTAGTCTTTAGAGACTAATTTTTAAAAAGACCATACAAAAACGTTACTTCGTTTTAAGTTGGGGGACCTGGTAAACTGTAAGATCTTGTGCAGCGACCTTGCATAGAGATCTAGAGCACTGTGGCACTACTTCAGTGCCATGCCCGGAATTGAAAATTATTCATCAACTCAGCCAAAAAAGGGGGTTGACTCACATTTGGTTCCTGCCTTGGGAGAAAGATTCTATCACAGCAGCGGGGAAAAAAAAGTAAGGAACTTGTGCACTGTGCAAAAGACTGATGGCTGCCTGGCCAGGTCTTCTCAGTTCTCAGGTGGAACCCTAGACAGTTTTTAAAGTATGAAACTATCTATTAAAAAATGGTGGTTTCTAAAAGCACTGTCTAAGCCAAAGAAGAGTCGCTGGCTCCGACTGAAGAGTCGCTGTGGGTGGTGAGTGATCCCGCCCCGCATCGCATCTCAGTCCATCATCAGCCCCGGGCTGACCGCCAGGGGTGGGGCCGGGGTGAAGGCCACCGCGGCGCGACAGGGCTTCCCAAGGCCAGGCCCGGAGTCACGCGACGCGGGCATTCTCCCTGGCCCTTCCCCCCACCCCCTAGGCACCACTACTACGCGCCCATTTCCCGAAAGAAGTGGGAGCTAGGGAAGGTTGGGTGCCCGGTGGGGGAAGTGG